TTTGCTGATGTTGTTATTATTGTTGTTGTTGTTGATGGTGCCGTTGCTGTTGCTGTTGCTGTTGCTGTCGCTGTCGCTGTCTCTGTCGCTGTCGCTGTCGCTGTCGCTGTCGCTGTCGCTGTCGCTGTCGCTGGTGCTGGTGCTGGTGCTGGTGCTGGTGCTGGTGCTGGTGCTGGTGTTGGTGTTGGTGTTGGTGTTGCTGTGTTTGTCGGTGTGGGTTTGGGTGTGGGTGTTGGCGCTGGCGTTGGGGTTGCTGTTGTTGCAGCTGCTGGAGGACGAGGACGGCGACGGCGATGACGACGACTGCAAAATCACTGTAGCACTAGCAGTAGTAGCAGCAGGCGGAGACAGATAGGGACGATGCTGAGGAACTGGAGCGGGGTCCAAGAAATTCTAGCTGCTGCTCCAAAACCACGAACCTCAAATTCGAGCAGTCAAGGTCCAAACTGCGAGCCCCTCAATCTGAGCAATTCTCAAATCCAGAATCGCCAGATGCTGGCTGGGCTCCAGGCCGCCCGCCCTCGAACCTCAGACTTTGCAGCTCTGAAGTGCGGGCACATTTCACGAATCTCGGGCTTTCATGGCTCCGAGCTTCGGGTTCGTCTGCCGAAGCTGATCCAGTGCGCACGCAGGAACTTGGACGCCAATGTCCCGGCTTCAGACAAATGGGCTCCAAACCACGGACGTGTGAAAGCAAGAACAGCAAGAAACAAAATTCAAACCCTTCCCAACAAACCCCGAGGTTTTGCAACCCAGGCACGAAGGTCGTACTGCCCAGGACCCGGATTTTGACCTCAAGTCACAGAGGACAAGCCGCCATCCCAGCAGCCAGCAGCCGCTACGAAATCTGCTTCAGCGACGCCATACTCACGACTTACTCTACCTTTCGGGAGTTCAAGTTTCGGCTGAGCGAAGTCGAGTGCTCCACCATTGGCACGGATGCCCCGGTTGGAGGTTCCGAACCTGGGATAATCCACTAGACATGACACTGTGACACCGTCGGAGGAGGTTCTACCCGGTCCAGCCAAGGAACCCCCATCTCGGGGCCGAGATAGAGAGCGGACCTCGCGAGCAGGCCCGCTTCAACGCAGGGCTCCGCCATCTTTTTTGTTCAGGGTGCTTTCGGCGCGGCCGCAGTCGCTGTAGGTCCCAGGACCTGGCGTGGAGCACCTCGAAAGACCAATGAATGCCAGGGCAGTGCGGCGCATTCGCGCTCTTCCCTTGAAGACGTTGCCCGGCCGCCGCCGCGCCGACCCATCCCGGCGAGGAGTGCAGCTGTGTCGCGGGCACTGCGGCCTTTCACTTTGACTCCGGAGGTGTTTGCCCTGAAGAGGCCCTCAAGTCAGGCCTCGTGGAGCTCACATTCGGCACATAGGCGCCAGGACCTGTCCAAAGAGCCGGAAAAACAGATCGGGACTCTCTCGCATCTCCATTCACGACTCTTCCCTTTCCGTCCTGGAGTTCCACCACCATTCCCAAGCCTGCACGTCTTGGGAATCTCTAGATGGATTCGGATCTCGCGAGCATGCTTCTGAACTGAGCACACAGCCCACGTCTTGCTCTGCCGAAGGCAGGCCCCGCAGAGTGTGGTCGCTTCTGACAGAGAGCAAACTAGCGGAAGTGTTGTTTTCTATTCAAGGTTCTTGCGACTCAGACTTGCGACAAGCCCGTCGTCGCGCAGTTCGGACTTGATCGAAAGCCAATCTGCGAAGCGAGGGCGAATCGTTGGACCGCAACTATCAGGAGTTTCGAAAACGACACGACATCCCACAGGCAGAGGACAGCTGCCATGCTGGGCAACCGTACAGAAAACAGCACTGCTCAATGAAGCTCCCAAAACAACCCGAAATCCGCGGCGCCACCCGTTATGAGCTCAGTTGGGGCAGCGGCCGACCGGTAGCACTCACTCGCGCCGTAAGCTCCGGGGCCCGGGGATGCCATGGACAGCGGGCCCTGCCACGATTAAAACCAAGGCCTATGAAGGGAAACGAAAGACCAAAACAGCACCTGATCCCGTGCGCAGGACCCGAAGCCGTAGCCAGCCTGCCTGGCGCACAAAGACTCTCGGATGGACAGCAAATGTCGAACTCGCAAGAGGCAGCTCAGCGGGCCCTTCTCCTTCGGGCCTTTGCGATCGCGAGTCAGCACCATAGGTGCCAGGTCCGGGTGTCAGCAGCCTCTTGTGTTGGGAAGCTTCTCCGGCATGCGCACGATTGGAGGGCAAAAGTGTGTGCTTCGGCCCGTCCTGGAGTTCGCAAAACCGTAACGCCCAGCGAAGCTCCACTTCGGTGCCTGAAAAGAGACTTTGCCGAGGCCCCTGGGGCCTGGGGCCTGGGCTGGGGCCTGGCTGGGGCCTGGCCTGCTTGTTTTGTGACATGGTGGTGAGGAACACGCTGCCCTCATAACCTGCGCTGCTCGGCCGGTATAGCGACATGGCTCGTACGAAGGGCCGGATGCCTTGCAATGGACTTCACCAGCCGCAACTGTCCTGCTGTCTCTACTCTAGCCAGACCCACAGCCATGAAAAAATTGCCAAGTCTACTGCTCTGCCACCGATACCACGGAACTGAACCGGAGTGGGCTTCGATGTTGCATGGACTCCGCCCCACAACATGCCTGACACGTTCCCGGCTGCCACCATGCGAAACAAACCTTCGCGCAGCTTGGCTTAACTCTTGCAACTGTCCTGTTGCCAGCACGACTATCAGGCAAACTATTCTTACCAACGGCTCCGACATGACCTCTGTTGAAACGCACTGGCTGATCTTCCGAAGATCTCACGAAACTCACATGGCTCGTACACTCTTCGACTCTCTTCTCACAAAAGATGCACGATTCACCTGGCCGACAATAATTGTCATTATTTCAACATGTTTTGCAGACTGTCACACGGGCAAACGTCGTGGACACATACAAGCAGTGGGGAGCGGGAGCTCGTGGTCACGTTGGACTGCAAAGCATTCGGAATGGAAAATCGAGCGGTCAGGCGGCATCTCGAGACGCAGCTGCGCTAGATAGATGGTGCCTGCACAGCACTGATTCT